TACGATCGCTTGTACAAGTTTGTTGGCTTGACGTTTTGGATTCTCCCTTGAACCCATCATCAGAGACAATCCCAGCAAATGGCCGTCCTTGTTATGGAGGTGGTTCCGCGAAATCTTGAAGAACGGCAGTCGTATTGCTTCACTTGCATTGAGTTTAACATCAGCATCATCACCTCCAATACCAGCCGCCGTGGAGGCGCTGCATGCTCCGCCACCAGAATTACTCTAATTCTGTCTAAAAAATTGAATGCACATGCCTATCTCTGTCTCCTTTTCCTTCAAGGGTGAACTGCTATGACGTCTTTGACGCGGGGGCTCCCTTTGGCGGCTACAAAATGTCTGGTGTTGGCCGCGAACTAGGTGAAGACGGACTCAAGATCTACAGCGAGACCAAGACGGTACGCACACAGCCCCTTCGCGTTTACTTCACCCTACTCCACTGGTTGTTTATGACCAGTTCGTTTATTCTCAGAGTCTCCAAATAATTTGGTAGTAAACATCAATCTAATCCAGTTGCCGGAGTATTTTTACTCCTTTGGAGTGAAGATGAGGTCAGAATATGCCTTTCAATATATCTTCTTCACGCAATACGTTTCTGGTTGGTCGAGGGCAGAAGTTGCAGGCACACTTAGCCGATCACTGCAGATTTAAAATCAGTGAATGATCTTATCAAACATTAACGAAAATGCTGAAATATGTTTTCGATTAGGAAAGATTGCTTGAGTGGAGTTGTTACTATGATGACCCGCGACTGGTACTTGAGCTGTGAGTTTGCCAAGTTGTTGTTCCCCAAGCCAACATGAAAGATGAAGAGAAGAAAATCGGCTACTAGCAAAATGTATTAAAAAGCACCAAGTCAAAGGGGATTGTGTGTAGTTATAGCACCGGTTGGATGAGAAACTGCCGGAGACATGTACCAATTAGATCTGACGAGAGTTCGTTAACCGTGGTCCAGGTGCACGCTTTCTTGGCAGCTTGGCCGTGTGGGAGCTCACGTGGGTGCCTTTCTATGCGATGACTCGTCATGGGAACAGAGGCATTGCCAACATTAACATTAGGTACCATACAACATAAAATCATAATATTTCAGGCACGCCAAGATGCTGGCTTCTGAATGCACGCCTTTCGGCCATCTGCAAAAACCGCACTCGATACCAAATGACTATTTATGTAGTTTAAATTTTTAAATACATTGTCGATATCCTTATATATGTTATAGAGGAGAAGGGTACATAGTATTTTTGTCAATGCACTCTTTAATAAATATATTTGAATGTGTAAGGGCTCCTACATCAATAGAAAATACGCACTCTATTTGTCGGACGACCACAAAAATATGCATGTAACAGTCGACGTACTGGCGTATATATGGGTATTGTGTTGCACGATAATCGGAAGTACAACTCCGCCAAAGTTATCTTTAAGAAGGGATGTGAAAGTCCGCGTTGCGAGTGTTTGCATGGGTAAATGAGAAAGCTTGTCGAGCACCGGAACAGTTTGTTTATTGTCCTAAGCTTCCAAATTCGTAAAGGAGTTCATCGTCAGAAGTAGCAGCAACAAAAAAACAAAGAAGCAATAGACAGGGAATATAAACCAAACAACTATCCGTGGCGCACGTCTGGAGGTGAATGCGCAGGGCGCTATACACCGGCGCCAAATCGATACATCGATTTATTGAGCGACGAGACTGAATTATCGCAAGTTGCTGTCCGCACTTACGGTACACCGATTGATTGAACTTCCATCCTTGGGCCAGGCCTCAATCAATTCAAGGCTCGTCTTTTTTCCGGCGTGGGCGAGTGTCTTGATGGCTGTGAAATTGAAATCATGGCCCGTTTCATAGGTGTGAGCAGCAACTTGAGATATTTCGTCGTCTCGCCGTACAACCAGCTTATGTATAGGTATGCGCGATCCGAGCATGCGTTCAGTTTGACATGTGGGATGCGATACCAAAGACCAATCTGGGGTAGTGTATTGCATTCCATGCCTAAGCTCCGTTTGTAACAAGATAGGATTCTGTTGCACGATAATCGATAGTACAACCCTGCCAGAGCCTCTTTTAACGTTTGATGAGAGCGGTCGCAGAGTTGCCTGCCTGTTTAAAGTAGCACTCGGAAAATGCAAGGTGATTGAACTCGGGGGAGACTGTAGTTAAGTTTACGGGAAACAGGCGTCAGATGTCTGTTTGGAACAGGTTGAACGCCTGTAGTCGTAACATGTGGATAACAGCAAACCAGTTTAAGTGAGCTCTGAGTAAGTTGCCCTCATTTGGTGTTATTGACGTGTTGTATGTAGTCCTGAATTTGTCCATAATTATCTTTCTTTTTTGCATCCTTTAGGTCACTATGCGCGTGTCACAGAAGAGCTCCTGAGCATTTACACCATATTCATCTCTTGTTTTCTTCTAGCGGCGAAATTAATCATTTTCCATACCTATCTGTCACCTTTGATCCGTCTTCCGGCTGCTGTATCACAAGGGGATGGGCGGAGAATTGAAGGTGTGTATTTTCAAACAGTTGAATACAAGCCTTTGCACCCGTTTCACCGTACAATTCGATCAGTAGTTAAATGACAGGCTCGGGCAAACTATTGAAATATGGAAGAGGAAATGGGAAGAATAAGGCCGGCGCTCGGGGATCCTCGAGGCAACTCAGCACATTGCTCATTAGAATGAATATAACGTGCATGAATCCATCACGACACGCTAAGACTCGAGGTCTGGAGGGCTGTGAAGTTGTGGACTTACTCAGCTACCTTGGGAGCGTTTTGGAATGAAGGCATTACTGGAAGTCAGCCTGTAACAACTCCCTCTTAATGTGACATTAATGTCATTCCTTGTGCCCCCTTTCAGAAGCCTGGTAAGTCGTAAGCCTGGAGTAAGTCGTATCTATTACGCGTAAATGAGTTGTCTAGGTAGGTTAGCCACTGCGCTTTTCGCATTGCCTTGGTGAACGAAGAGGAAGGAGGATGACAGATGCTGTGTAAGTCATCGCCGTTGTGCCCACTCCGTGGGGACGCGGTGGACGTCGACCTCCGCGACGGCCGAACTGTCCTTGATGTCTCAGTGTAGGCTTATTTACAAAATTTTGCTATTGCCAAAAGTGCAGTCGACTTCGATTAGATGGTTTGCGATGAGCCCAAGCACTTACCGGTTAGCTGCCTGGTCCGTCCATTCAGATGTATGATAACAGGCATAACTACAGGCCTACCCTATGTCTCGCACCTACTTGTTGGTCTACAGTTTAGTGCCCTCGGAAAAGCGTGCATTTAACCCTCACTGGTTATTCTGCTGTAATAAGACTGTAGTAGAATATGGGCCAATAGTTTTTTTTCATTAACTGCCAATAACCAGTGTTGGACCGCCATTTGGCATGAAAATAGGCTCCTATCTTGCAGATCGACAGACGACCGCTTTTGAACTTCAAAGGCAGGCTTGAGTGTGTATTTAGTGCAAAAGTGTCGGAGATATGTTTTGGTCATTTTCGTTGCAAATGAATGGCCATAATGCTAAATTAGGTTGGAACCGGCTCTGGTCTCAGATATGCGCAAAAGACCAAATTGGATTAGGCCAACCGGTGGACAAACTACGGCAGACATCAAAGCTAATGCCCGCTGAATCATCCTTCACACTGACACGACTTTCTACAACTTCCACCCCCTGATTTATTGGTCAGGCATTTCCCGCGCATTGACGCACAATCAGCGCCATATGGCCCGTCCGTCTCTTTCCCCCACGCCGCAACAAGCCAATGTTGGTAACTTCGGGGTATTCCGCCTCCCTGCCTAGTCAATATGCTGGCTATACCTCCCCGAGTTCTGCCTTTACGCAATGACCAACCAAATTAAGCGAACTGCTGACTCTAATGTGTGGAGCCTGTCCGCTGTAGTAAACACTATCTGCTTCTCGCTCTCGATCCGAAGGAACTCTTGACCAAATTAGTTGGTGGCAGTCCACTCCACAACTCGGTGAACTCCGCTATGATGACGGACCCGACCAAGTGGCCACAGAACGTTCTGAGTAGCATGAGTACTGATGTAGACTGCATCGAGGGCCTATGATCTGCAGATTTGGTAGAAATAGGCCATTTCATTATACGTGATTTGAAGACCAGTAACCGGTTAAATGTCAAGCTCTATCAATATGTCAGATATTCCAAATTGAAATTTCAGGAGTGATAATGCGAAAAACTTAATTTGCTAACCGGAACACATGTCTATTGTTACTGAAGGCCTCGTCAGTTTACCGCTTTCAAAGGGTTAATCAACTCGGACCGAAAAGAAAGTAGCCTGCCGTGACCTGCTTATCGGCCTCGGGTGGCTTGATCGATTTTTTTCAATGCCTCGACCCTTCACAGGCTGTTTGACGGGCAGATTAGCTGCGTGCGTTATGAGTCACCGCCTCCATAGGGGTGAGGAGGGAAAGGTGGTCAAACCCCTGCCAATGTTGTTCAGTCTGGCGATTCTTAAGGTCTATTGAGTTATTCAGATCCGCCAAACCCCTCCTAATAATATTTTGTCTGCGGACGCAAACCAACCAAAGTACGCATATTCCAATCAGCAAAGAACTTGAGTGATCCGGGAGACAGGAATTACACTTATATCTGGAAAGTCGGCATCCCAAGAAGTATAATTCGGTAGAAGAAGTTTCTTTGGGAAAATGTTATTTATTGAGTGAATTTTCGACACTGGCTCACCAGGTCGTCATCAGACAGATGGGAATCGTAAGAAACAGTTAATCTACAATACTACTTATTTGTAATTGTACTTGATCCGATAAGCTCCTGTTGTTGGATAAAAAGGCTTCACGGATGTCACGAATAGCGGCGGCCT